CATTTCCTCTTCCTGTATTCCCACTCACCGGTCAGTCTGTTGTTGAGCAGGTCTGTGTAAATGCTGAAGGCCTTTGCGTGGGCTCCGTGCTGGAAAGAGACACACAAACATATTATATTTAATCTAGATGCAACCAAAATGGCCCCCCTGTTTCAGAACCCCCCCCTGCAGTGAGGGTCCGTACCATGACCATGCCTCTGATCAGAGCCGAGTAGCAGCGTGTGTCTCTCTCTGGCAGCAGGTTGAAGATCCGCTCTGCGTTGTTGTTCTCCTTCCAGCTGAACTTCATGAAGTCTGAGGCCCGGCGCGGCGTCCCCTGGCCCTGCTTCACCTCCTCCCCAGGCTCCTCCTGACACACAGAGGGAAATACACACACTGTAGATTTAATATCATGTCTGAAGTTGTTGGGAAAATACTCAATATACTCTTCCAATATCAGAGTAGCATATGATAACAAAGGGATCCCAACTGTAGCTGTGTACATGACAGGATGTATGATAACCTAGAAGAGCATCGGGCAGTGGCGAGCCGTCAGGGCCCTCTAGGCCCTCTGTGAGGGCCTAAGATATTCTAAAAAATAATATTTGAAAACATTTTTTTTGTTGTTACATTTTTCATTAGTTTTACCAAAATAACTTGATTTAATTGTATTTAAAAATAACATTTCCAAAGAAATAAATCCTTTCGAATCTGCCTGTTCAGTTTCTGTTAGAATGTGAAGGGTTAAATGCCGTCTCTGCGAGTTATGTGAAGACGGGAGAGCTTGTTGGTCTCTCTCTACATTCACAGAGGGCCAGCTATAATAACTCAACGAGAGAGTAATGTCAAATGACAGTACAATTGACCAATCATATCTTCCCTCTAAATGGGCGGGCTTTATTTTCGCGGACTTTATGACAAGTTCCGCCCGCTGTGAGGTCTATGGCTGCTTCTCAGGTCGACTATTTTCATTTCCTCGCTCCTCGCTCCTCGGTCTCACCGGAAGTTGATTTGCCCGCGCCATCTTGAGTAGCGTCCCATGGCTCTTATTTCTGCCGGAGGACCGAGGATCGAGGAGCGAGGAGCGATCATGGAGGAGCGATAACCGAGGAACCACCAGACCATCCTCCGATGAAATCCTCAGATACTCACCCCGCCCCCTTACTGTGTATCGCTCACTTATTGGACGAGGCAGTGCATGCACTGATCTGATGCTTCTTGACATGAGAGCAGAGTGAAGAAAATACATGAACCTCACGGGAGTCACTCCTCAGTTTATACCGTGTTTTGTTTGAATTCATGTTTCATTTAGTTACAAATATGTGATATATCTGAACAACAAAGTGGTCAAAAATCATTTTATTCATTTGTTGGAAACATTTTCATGATCGCTTTTTTCGTTTTACATTTTCATTTATAGTCATTTCCATTCAGTCATTAAGTGCTATTGAAATGTTAATTTACTACATATCCAAACAAACAAACAAAGTGTGCAATCCAATGAATGTTAATCTAACTGGGTTTTGATAGATAACATATCTCTTTTTCTTCTCTCAATTATTTTATTTCTTTTGTGCACTCTAATCAATATTAATCTAACTATTGTTTGTTTATACATTTTAAGAATGGCGTTTATCTTTTTTGAGAATGAGTTCTTATTTTATTTTATTTATTGGGATCTACAACAGATGATACAAATGTTTGTGTCAGTAAATGTGTACTAACAGAGGCGGGGGGGTGTGTGGAAATAACGGGGACAGAGCTGCTGTCAGACGATCAGCTGTGCAGCGTCATCACAAACGGACGTCGCTTCACGTGACGCTCCGGAGGAAAGGACGTTCCATTGCTCTTAAAACTCATTTCCCTGCTTCTCTTGGTTTCCTTGCGTCTCTCCATGCTTCCCTGGAGGGAGGGACTAAACGCAGGGAAACGACGCAAGTGAGGGAAGCAAGGATTTCATTTAATCGACCTGAGAAGCAGCCTATGCAAGTGGTGCAGTGACGCATCCTAAAACCCGGAAGTAAGCTTCGCTCGGATTCCCTCAACAGAAAGCAACGGGATTTCTCCATAGGATTTTGGAAAATAGCTCTAAATAAGGTCTGTGGAAAACGAACCTGTTAGATAAATGCACGTTTTGTTCAGCCGGATAATATCCACATGTCTACCCTACTTTTATTATTTTCGAATCATAAATCTAAACGATAGATTTATGATCGATAGATTTATAATTAGCATAAATTCGTTCATGATGGCTCACTTCAGTGATAGTGATGACATCGTTGCGAAATTATTAACCAAGTCATTTTCAAGATTGAGTTACAATGATAAACTGGAGTGGCAAAGGATCAGCTGAATGACCCGCCATCAAGTGCTTTATCCAAAAGGACAGGAGGATGGACTTTGTGTTTCAGTGATTTGATCATCAAAGGTAGGCCTACGTCATTTTCAATGCGGGCCGCCGTGCCGACTTAATTCATTTGTAATCGCTACTTGGCTGTGGGTGCCCTGTCATGATAGGTGTTTATATAAATGGTGTTGTTCTGTGTGGTAGAGGGTCGCTGTCATTGATGCGTTTTTCACCCCGGGCCGCTGTTTTGATATTCCGCTGAAGTATACGCTGTGACGTAATATCTCTTCTTTTGTTTCGAGGGAAGGGGTTAGAGGGCCTAGGTATAAAAGTCACGGCTCGCCACTGGCATCGCGACTGTTTGAGGCATATGATAGATATGTGATTAACATGATGATTCAGCCTCTATGGAGATAGACATATGACAAGCATGATCATTTCTGACGTGGAGCTAATTTGAACTAAACATTGAATACCGCTTTCTATTCCTCCATCTTGTGACTGTGTAACTCCCTCTCTTGGATATCAGCATGTGAAGGACACTGTTCAGGAACTAGTTGATGCTCTGTATGTGATGACTATTTCCATTCTTGAGAGGATCATAAATACATGGATTCTGATATTGAAGCTCAAGCCGGTGACGAGTGAGAGTTTTCTAACAGAAGTCTACAGCTAAAATGTGACGGATTTGACTTTTTGTTGACATATATGAATTAAAAAGGTGTTAAATATAAAGAAATACTTAATATTGCATGTTTAATGCTTACATTAAATCAGAATACCTTTATTTATATTTACATACAATAATTTCTTATATGTTATTCCACCAACCATCTATCTATTAATTTATCCACCCACCCTCATCCATTTATTTAATCACTCAGAACATGCATTTCAACTGTTTTGAATCATTTATTTACTCCATACATTCTTTTGTATACGTTAATTAATTATAATATATGTTTCTAATAACGATGGCAATCTTGGGGCATTATAAACAAGATGTATTTAGAATTTGTTATTTTGACTTGAACAGTGTAAAAAAACAAATTTGCAGTAAGTTGATAATCAATACTAGTTGGATCTTTTAAAAAATACAAACAAAAGAAAAACGCCCATATTGTGTTCTGTTGTGTGACTATTTGTATACAGTATGTACTGTATTTTGTCTTTCACTTAACTCATTATTTATTGGAATTAGATAAAAACAACAATGGAGAAATTATTGGCAGGTAATTGATAATGGAAATAATTGTAGTTTCTTTGAAATCCCTCCTCAGGTTTGTATCAGCGATGACTCACCATGTCCTCTGACTGCGGCACCCCCTCCTCCACAGGGTCTCTGTCACAGTACAGACAGATCAGGTCCAACAGGTCATAGGTAGTATCCATAGAGACCGCTGTGCCTAGAAGAATTGAATCAAAAAAATAGATGTAGCAACATCCCTGAAAAAGAGAACGTGTGTCTTTGTCTGTGTGCCTGTATGTGAGCGTGTGTTAGGGCTGCTCGATTATGGCAAAAATCATAATCTCGATTATTTGGGTCAATAATTGATATTACAATTATTAAAAACGATTATCCATTTACTTTGAAAACATCAATTTATTGAAAAAATAAGGTGTAGTATGTTTTTAACAGTTGATTACCCTGAACTTTAAGTATAATTCAATTGAAAAACCAATACAAAAATTATATATATATTTTTTTAAAGGTGGGGTAGGTCATTTTGGAGAAACCAGCTCGAGTGCGCTAGAATTTGAAAATACACAGCCGGAAAAAATCTGCCACTTCCTTACAGAGCCCCTCCTCCAACACACACGAACGCGCACATGACCAATGAGGGCACGAGATAAGTTTGTGCACAGATGGAAGGCTGACAGGCAGGTAGGCCATCCAGTTATTTTAGCCAGGCTGGCTAAAATGATTGGTCGTGCTTTTTACAGTACTACGGCTTCCACTAATGACATTTGTTTATGGATTTTTTTGTCAAAGCACTTCAGATATTCATTGCTATCGGGATGTTAAGAGCATTCCATGGAATATAACAAAAAGTGTATCTCGAGCCGGTTTCTCAAACTTACCTACCCCACCTTTAAATAAATAATCGTTTCATTTTTATTATGTTGTTTTCATAATCGTTGCAAGCCAAAATCGTAATTGCGATTAATTGAGCAGCCCTAGCGTGTGTGTGTTCTCACCAGACTGCAGGAGCTGGTCGTACATTTCAACAGCAGCTGTAACTTTCCTCAGGCGGACTCGTTCCTTCAGCGCCTCCTCACTCACATCCTCCAGGAGCAGTGACACCGTCTCTGGCATCAGACACGACACACACACACACACACACACACACACACACACACCACACACACACACACACACACACACACACACACACACACACACACCACACACACACACACACACACACACACACAACACCCACACACACACACACACACACACACACATCACACACACACACACACACACACACACACACACCACACACACACACACACACACACACACACACACACACACACACACACACACACACACACACACACACACACACAACACACACACACACACACACACACACCCACACACACACACACACACACACACACACACACACACACACACACACACACACACACACACACACACACACACACACACACACACACACACACACACACACAAATCATAAGAACTGCAGTGCTGAGAAATTCCCACTGCACTTTAAATCAACTCTATTTATATAGGAAAGCAGTGCAGTGACTAACTCTTTGCTTATTAAAGTAAGGATTCCTGTCAACCCCCCTCAAAAGTATGCTCCATACATCCACAGTGGAAGATTAAACAGTGATGGTCAAAAAGAGTGGTGCAAAAATTAGCCCTAAACCCGGAAATGAGTTAGCATTTTAGTTCTTCTGGTTCCCTCGTTGAGTATTCAACGCTTTTTTGTTTTTGGTTAGAAGCCTAAAATAAGGTGTGTGGTTAACACAATATAAGGTTTTCACAGTTTGATATAACATCCGTCAGTAAATACCCCTCATGAATGTCTGAAGCTGCTATGTGTCATAAAGACAGCGGTTGCTAGGTGACTAAATGGCTACTACTAAACATCATCATGCTGGACCATTAGCCTGCTTTAGCCTAGCGGTGGTGACGTGAAGCCATGTGGCCCGTGATGTAATTAGTTCATAGCCTAATGTTAGCTTTTTGCTTCCTGCTATTGCATTTATGCTTTAACTCTTATACAAGTGGTGTTAATATGTGGAGGTGATCCTGTTGAACAAAATGTGGAAGTATCATAAATGTGTGTTTGCCACAGAAATTCCAAAATCTAATGGAACTGCTATGCTAATTTCTCTGTCGGCCTACAAAAAGACGTCTTTACTCCAACAATCTGTCGGTGTGTGTGTGTGTTCTTACCGGTATATGTGGTTCAGCGAAGTCTGTGGTGAAATACTTGGGATTATTGTTGATAAAGAATTTGGCTGCAGATCTGCCAGATTCCTTAGAGAGAGAGTACAACTTCTGCAGGGAGACAAAACGACACAGGCTCAGTTACAAAACATATATTACAAATATTTATATTACAGCAACATACATACAACAGCGATCTCTTTTGTTGCTCAAATCCAAATGTACTGCCATTCCAAAATGACCACCATTAAGCAATACTCGGTTACAAGCTTAAGTCATGCATTACAAATTGTTCTAAAGTAAAAGTACAAAAGGATTACTATTAAAATGTACCAAAAAGTAAATGTAGACATTACGCAGTATTTCAAAATCAAACACATTAAATATTTGTATCATAATTATTCATGCATTAGTGTGATCATCACTTCAATGTTGCAGCTTATAAAGTAAATGTGGGGAAGTCCAAATTATAATAAATGTAATAATTTGTTATTTGATTTATACTGCATGTCGTACTACTGACTGTAATCTGCAAAACAACATTTATTTTTATTGCAGACCGTATGAAGTATGAAGTACCGTATGAAGTAGCTTAAAGTGAAAATACTCAAGTGAAATATACTTGAGTAAAAGTACTTAGTTACATTACACCACTGTTGTTGTTGTACATACAAATACATTAAGTTGCCTTCAACAACCCATAGGTCCCTACATGAGGGGATACAAATTACAAATGGGATGGCGTGTTGTTTTGACGTACAAACTCATTAACTGTCCTGGGCGAGAGGAAAGGATCATCCTGGAAGTTGTAGGGATATGCTGTAGGATCCTAGAAACAGAAACAATTATAATATATGAACAAACAGGCACACAGACAGATAAACTAGCAAACTTTTTCAATGAAAGTTCATCAGATGAAGCTCTCACCCTGCCCACAGTGGAAGACAGAGCCTCCAGCACCGCCTCTTTGCTCCTGTTCAATGACAAAGGACACATTAGTCTGGCATAAAGACACCTGATGCAAATGTGAAATACAAATACTGACTTGATTTACAAGCGTATGTAAATGGTACTATAAGCATATGGACACTTACCATGTTTTCTTCCTGGGGATGACGATAGTATCTGTAGGTTCTGCAACAATATTGGGAAAAAGGTGTGATTGAGTGTAATGTCACCAATATATTACAACAAATTACAAGTAATGCTTTGATGTAGTACACAACTAACAGACATTTATTGAACATCTAAACATTTTCCTATAACTACAATTTTCCAATTTAAAGGATCAGTTATTCTTCTTGTCAACAGAAACCCGGTGCTTTTCAAGCACCAAAAAATGGCCGGTCTAGAAGCAAGAACCGCTTACGTCGGAGGCGGGGGTAGGGGCGGGGATCAACCTGAGCAATAACCGTTTATGGCGAGTACGGCAAATGAAAGTTGTAACAAGCAGTAGCGCTGACCAAAGTGACTAGAACGCAACCACACACCTATTTAAAAAAAAACACTTTATAAAGACAGGCAGCACTAACCAGGCTTCGTGTGATTCTTGTTATTTGTACCCTACTTTGACCATCCGTTCGCCGTCATTGATCATTGTGGAGAGCAGACAGACGTTTTGTTTTATATTATAGCAGCTATGGGATGAAATCAATACATGGGCTGCACAGGTTGTCATGTCCCACTATCACAAGTAGAATCATAATGAAAAATACGCCGGTAAAATGTGCCGGCTTATGCCACAACAATAGGATAGCAACAAGTAGTCAAGATAGTCAGTTTAGCTTTGGTTGCTATGCTAACATCACCCATTTTATACCAGAGAAACTTTCATAACAGCGTTGTGATGCCAAACAGCGGGCAGCACTGCAGTGGTCGGCAAATGCCGCTGAACACATTAATAAACAATGAACCACGGCACTCTGGAGAAAAGTACAAGGGTTGAGAAGTAGTTATTTAATTTAATCTGGCTTCGTATGATTATGCAACACGATCATCGACCCAACGCCATTGGGGAGAAAATCTGCGACGTGATGACGCAGCAGCGGCAGCACCCTTCTTATTATACATCCATGGGCAGCACCAGTTGGGCTTTCGTCGGTTGTGAACAAAACGATGGCTGAAAAGAAAAACCGGTTCCGAACCAGAAAAGCTCTAGCACGGAGCTAGAACGGGAACCGCGTTGGTGTGAAAGGGGCATCAGTACCTGCTGCTGACAATGGAAATCTTTAAAAATGGGTCATGAATTTGTAGTTGTTCCTTTTGGCAAAACGTTTTCCCTAAAAAGTCATATTTAAATCGAACATCTGTTAAGTATGCGCAGTCATTTTTCTTCTCTCATCCATTTATTCAGGGACATGAACCAGCATGGCTGTGCTGCGTAATCAACATGAGACATCCGGTTTCAGGTTCGACATCCGGTTTCACTATGAGTGGTCGCATTTTCGAGAGCTCCCGCTTTGGCGGTTATTCCTCACGATTTTTTACATATTTCATCCTCCTGACAATATGGATTATGGACTCCTACCTCAACTCATCAATGAGGCAACATCACTTAGAGAAGGAGATTAATGAAAGCGGGGATAAAATGAACCACAATGACTTTTACCTTCTCAACGGCTGGGAAAGGAAACACCTCGCTTTTGGAAGTGCAAGCATTCATGCATTATTAACTGCAAACCCGACGCGAAAGTACTTACCCCCGTCAGGCAAACTAGACCGAAGAAGTATGATCGTCTTGGTCTTATTGTTAGCGGGAGACATCCATCTGAATCCGGGCCCGGTGCAGACAAGAAGCCAGTCCTGCAGGCTCGAGGAGCTAGCATCACAATTAGCATCTCTTCCACTGCAGCAAAAACTACGCGACGACAACAGAGACCGTGGAGACAACAGAGACCGAGGAATTAACGGAGACTTCGAGATTCCCCCGGGGACGCCTCGGCAGACAGACATGCATGAGGCAGTGACGAGAGGAAGAGAACCGAGATCCGAGGGAACAAATATCCGCCATGTTGTTAGCCACCCTGCTAGCATATCAACGGCTAAAGCTACAACGGAGCCTCCCACCACCCCACCTCTCCAAACACCACGGCAGGCCGCAAGCCGGTTGCTGTAACGGACAAAGACAAATATATGCAAGCTGACGACATTGTGCATTTAAGAAACAAAAATGGACTGCATATTTTTCCTCTGAACACTAACAGCCTGAGACACAAACTGGCTGAACTCAGGCAGCTATTCATGAACGGTAAGGCAAGCATATTATGCTAACAAAGGGCCGGCTGTCACAAAACAGTCATATCTAGAGACCTCAAAAACTACTCTAGCGAGGCCTTTAACCTAGAACTGGAGAGCCTGGACTGGTCAGATGAGCTCAGTGGTACACAAGTTGAAGAAACATGGCTTGGTTTCAAAAACAAATTCTCTGCAATACTCAATGATTTGGCCCCCCTAAGAACAACCAGGGTAAAAAATCGCGCTGAGCCGTGGATGCACTCCGGCATACTGACCGCCATGAAAACCAGAGACAAAAAATGCTCTGAGTTTCATAAAAGTCAGTCAATGCTTTCCAAAAGCACGAGCAGTGAACTCCAGGCCCACGTGACTGAACTAAAAATGGAAAGAAACAGACTAAGAAATGACGTAAGCTCCATGATCAAAACTGCAAAAAAGAATTTCATCAATGTCAAAACTGAGGAAAACAAAAATAAACCCCGTGAACTTTGGAAATTACTCAATAACCAGCTTGGCTGCAGTAAAAAACTCAAAACGAGATTTTCTAACTTAAACATAAAGACAGATAACAGGCTCATCACAGACAAACTGGATGTGGCCAAGTACTTGAACATTTTTTTCACAAACATAGCCACAACTCTTGTAAATAAATTACCCTCCCACTCAGGGCTTTTTGGAGTAGATCACATCATGACCTACTACAAAAACCTAGGGATACGCAAAGATGATTTCAGTCTAGCAAGGGTAACAACAGCAGAGGTACTCATTAAACTGAGCGCCCTCCAACCTAACAAGGCCACTGGCCACGACAATATCCCCTCCAAATTCCTCAGAGACACAGCAACCGCCATCTCACCAGTCATAGCTCACATAATTAACCTCTCCATAAAACAGGGAAAAGTACCCAAAGACTTCAAAATTGCAAGAGTAACCCCCCTGCACAAAAAGGGCAGCAAATTGGACCCAGGCAACTACCGCCCTGTCTCTATACTTACCTCCATCTCGAAAGTCATGGAAAAAATAGTATATGAACAGGTCGAAAAGTACCTCGCGGAAAAGAAACTAATCTATGAATTTCAATCTGGCTTTAGAACATCCCACTCCACTGACACATGCCTTCTTTATTTGAGCGACCACATCAAACAAGAGGTGGACGAGGGCAAATACTGCGGCATGGTGATGCTGGACCTACAAAAGGCTTTCGACACTGTCAATCACCCCATTCTGATTGACAAGCTAAAAGCAATTGGTTTTGATAAACTATCGGTGAGCTGGATGCGATCCTACCTGGAGGGGAGAGAACAGATGGTGGAGGTAAACGGTACTCTGTCCCCCCCCCTCCCAGTGAGCTGTGGTGTTCCACAAGGAAGCATATTAGGTCCGTTACTGTTCCTAATTTATGTAAATGACATGTCATCAGCATGTGACTGCAACTTGTTCCTGTTCGCGGACGACTCAGCCCTGCTGGTCTCTGACAGGAGCAGATTGCAGGTTGAAAAAACCCTCAGCTCCGAGCTCGGCAGAATCTGCACCTGGCTCGCCGATAATAAATTATCATTACACCTGGGTAAAACAGAGTCCATTCTCTTCGGTTCGAAACATAATCTCAGCAAATCTGACGACTTCTCAGTTGCAGTGGGCGACATTATTGTCACAAGTAAGAAGGAAATTACATACCTAGGATCTATTCTTGAGGCAAACCTCTCCTGTGATAAAATGGCATCCAATGTAATAAAAAAAGTCAATCAAAGAACTAGATTCCTATACTGGATCTCATCTCTGGTAAACAAAAACACCCTGAAAACTCTGGCAGGAGCACTCATTCAAGGGTACTATGACTATGCTTGCACGTCATGGTACCATAGCACCTCCAAGGCGCTAAAAATAAAACTTCAAACATCGCAAAATAAACTGGTCAGACTACTGCTTGACCTTTCATCTAGAACCCACCTCACCTCTGCCCACTTTGACAACCTAGGATGGCTTAGAGTAGACGACAGAGTACAGCTACTTGCAATGGGCCTGGTCTACAAGATCCACTACACCTCTATGGTACCCATGTACATGTCAAAATTCTTCCCAAAGGTCAAGGAATACCATGATCATAACACCAGAGGGAGCTCCACAAATCATGTGGAACCCAGATTTGGCACAAAAAAGGGGGAATACACGTTTCGCAATTATGCCACATCAAGGTGGAACGCTCTTCCCACAACTGTAAAGGAAAGTAAAACTATACTTACCTTCAAAACCTCTCTTAAAGAGCACCTTCGGGGGAGAGCATTGCAAAACTGGCCCCGGTAATGGTACAAATCTCAACCTGTCGTTCAATGGACAGCTTCCCCCCCCCCCCATCTATGTATATGCTCGCATTTTAGACACTGTTACTAACTGTATATCTGTAGACTTGGTATGTCTTAAATGTCCGGTTAGGATGTATTAGAACGAAATCTAAAATGAAAATTGTAAATAAGCAATCTGTATGTAAAAAACCACCTGTATGTAAATTGTAAATAAGCCATCTGTATGTCAAATATGTCTTATATGTCTTAAATGATATGATGAATTGGAAATGGGGGACCCTGATGTAAACAAGACGAAAGTCTTTCTCTGGTCTGCATCCCCTTAACAATTGTATGTTTTGAGCTGTACTGTACTGTACCCAATATACAAGCTGTTAATAAACTTTTCAATCAATCAATCAATCAATAGCGCTCCGCGCTTATCATGCTTATGACGTCACAATGGGACGTACCATTAAACATGGAGTAAGGGTGCTATTACAAAGTTATACCTAACACTCCCACTCAACCTTAACTCTATTGGTTACATAAAAAAAACAACAACAACATAATAAGGCTTCTCTTTTGCCTTAACAATGTGAATACACTTGTGCACTT